TCAGTTCAAAGCAGTCAGGCAGGAAGAATTTTCTCTTCCAGGAGAAGGAACAGCATTTTTGCTTTCTTGAGGTCTTTAAAGGATTGAATGAGGCCCACCTATGTTAGGGACTATAATCTGCTTTACTTAGTCTACTGATTTAAATGTTAATCTCATCCCAAACTACTCACAGAAATACCCAGAAGAATGTCTGACCAAATATCTGGGCACCTTGTAGCCCAGTCAAACATAAAATTAACCATTAGAGAATTTCTTCAAGATCTCAACTAATGAGGGGCATATCAGGGATCTGAATTTAAGTCTGACTTAGAATTCCATGATTGTTGCCCCCACATTGCCCCAAGGGCAATCACTAGGACTTCCAGGCTGACAAATACCAGACACTTCAGTCTTTTTCATAGCAGCTTTCTTCCAGAGCACTGTCCACAGATTTGAAATAACCAAGTACCATACTTCTCCCCAGTTATGATACAACATGTGCACACTGGTTTAAAGCAAGCTGACTTGGATAGTTTCGTCAGTTGGTTGGTTTTTATACCACAAATTTAGCGACAGAAATGCTGATTAGGTAGACTACTTTATAGCCAATCTTGTCAGAATAAGGTAACTATTCAGTACATTTTCCTAACATGCATATTCAAACATTTAGAAAACAAATATTAAAAAAAAAAAGGTAATCAGGTTTGGGAGCAGAACAAGACAAAATATTGACTTTTTGGCAGTTACCTTTGTATCCTTGAAAAATCTTGCATGCAAATCTATTTATTAAAACAAGTATTTATTAAGCATCTGCTACGTACTTGAAACTGTTCTGGGTACAGAGACTACTGTAATAATCAAAATTTTAAAAATTATTTTCTTTCTCAGGGATTAAAAAAGGTGAATGCTTGAACATTAGAATTATTTTCCAAACTCCAGATGCTGAAAGCGTAAGGGAGTCACAGAAATGTAAACTGCTCTAAGTGACCAAACTTTTTGGAGTACAAAGGTACTGCAAGATCAGAGACATATACCAAATGCACATACTAGATGGCATTGTTAAATTATGAAATGTAATTTATGGTTTAATCTTTTCATTATCAGAGGCTCAACACTAGGTGGCATCCAGGGTCAGGCTGAAAGTCGTAACTAGCAATGAAAAGACAATCATATTAGCTTCTGTGCTCAATGCAGATTCCCTGTGGATTCTAAGAGAAACAGTTTTAAAAGAGAAAGGGGTGAGGTTACTCTAAGTCATAATCAAAATGTTCTTTGCTGGGAGGGATATGAAAGTGAAGAGATATAGAAGGTTCATGTGAAGGCTACAGGGTAGACTGCATTGGAAAGATAAAGACTGAGACATTTTCAAAGTTTAAAATCCTGGTAGTCAAGGAAAACACACAGCATGATTGTCTAGAATAAGGAGAAGGAACCTGTTAAGAAAGTTTAGGCTCAAAAAAAGATTACTGTGCAGATATGGATAACATAAGTGGAATTCTACTTTCACAGTCGGGAGACTCTGAAATCACTTTAACAGACTTTGCTAAGTTTAACAGATGATAAAGCAATAAAAGACAATCTCTCTTATCTGTATCTCATGTCTATCTTGTATAATGAGTTAGATTAACTACTGCTTATGAAATTGTTGGCAGGCAGTATCACCAACAGAAAAATTATTTATGTCCCAGTTATGAGCATGCAGGCAGGTGGGCAATGTTCACAATTATTTTAAATGAAAAAGCTGGGAATCACTGCATATTTACAAATGAAAACAATCTCACAATTAAATAGAACATTGACATGAATTGACTTCTGGTTGTCTGTAAGGAATAGACTGGAAAAACTAGAAAGAAATACATTATCCACAGAGATACAGGTATTAAAGAGAACATCTAGTTTACACAATATCTAGATGACAACATTCTAAGCTCAGCATTTTTCTATTCCATGCTTGAGTTGAATTATCTTTTTTGTTGTTTAGGGACATAAGGGCTAATACCACAGCAACACTTCTAACTTATAATCTTATATTTCTTCACTGATTTACTGATTAGACACCTTTTCCCCTTTAGGACAATTCCTGGCAATTTCAGTTAATACATATAATGCCTTTATTTATGGAAACTTCTTCATTTAAGTCCATAAAAACCACTGACTTTTCTCAAGAAAGACAGATGCTCAGTTAACAATCAATCTCCCTGTTGTGTATTAATTTAATCATTTAAAATTATGGGTTGGGAACACATTAGGATGCATTGGCTTTACCCTTAGTTTGGATACAGGATGGTAAATTGAATGGAAGTAAAAACTTTTTTTTTTTTTTAAACTGTAACTTTCCATGAGGCCTCAACACATGGTGCTAATGAAAAATTCCACATAACACAAACTAATCTCAAAATAAAACTGTTATTTTAATAACTTAATAAGTCTCAGAACTTTAGGTATGATGTTGGGTTAGTGGTTCCCTGACTTTTAGATTGCATGGAGCAGTGAAAAAAAAAAAGTAGGGACCAACATTGGGCTGCCACCTTATTATTTTGCGAAGTAAATATACTACCATTAACATTTCATAAAAGACACTTCAATACCATAACAGGTGAAATGATCATAATAAAAAATTAAATTTGAGCTGATAGCTTTCTATTAGCATTATTTATATTTTTCCTTTCAGGAGAGCTGAAAATTTAGTCTTGGTCTAGAATCTGGGAACAATTGCCTAAAATGCCATTTAGTCCATTCACCTCACAATTTAAAAGGCTGAGAGGTGAGTGGCTTTGCTACTAGCTGAAGTCAGCTAGTATTATAATCAAGGAGACAAAGCACAGCTTCTAACAACTAGAACTACACACCCTCAGATACCCATGCACAAAATACTGCCTGTTGCTAATCAGGAGCCAAAGTCAATGCTTATCTTAAGGCAAAACCAAATCGAAAACCTCCTTAACTAATGTAAAATCAAATAATCTCACCTACTTGTAGTAGAAATACTCAGTATACATGGTTGTAGCTGTTTTGTCAAGGACATACATTATAAATTACCATAATTCTATAACCTATGCCATAAATAGTGGGAGCTTCTAATTCTCAAAAAGTTTCTCAGTCTCAATTACATGGTCTACAGAAGCCTCATAAATGACTGTTGCATGAACAGATGAACATCACTCTAAAAAACAAGACTTTTCACATTAGAAACTTCTCAACCTAGCACAAACTTTTCAGAAATAACTAGAACATAAATGACATAGAGAAAAACAGATGTAAGCCCTACTTGCTTTGCCTCAATGAAATGAAAAGCACTTGGAAGCATTAAGGTGCTTAGCTAGAACAGTAACTACATACAATGATTTTTGTGTAAAAAAAATCTCACTTAACCTAACCACACTCATGCTGGATTTTAGGTTAAATAACATGAAAAGGTTTTAATCATAAATGAATGCTAGTTCAAAAGCATGTAAAAATTTTAACACGATCTTGAAAATACATTTACCTAATTGGCCTTTCAAAATGCTCAAGATCTATGTTTCACAGTAAGGTGGTCATTTATATTTTTGCCATACACACACACTCATAATTCTATAGTTTTGAAAACTGGTATCAGGTTCCCCCTGACATTACAAAAATGCATGACTAACAATATAATTTTCAAATTCAAGATAAAGAATAGTCTGTCAAGTTAGAAGGATGTCCCTTTATCAGAAACATTGTGAGTTGATGGATTTACTTTTCTTTAAAACAATTCATCTTTAAAAGTATTATTGCTCTGCTTTGCTGACATGCATACTTATTTTAAAAAGGAGGTGGGCAAAGAAAAAAAGTTTCCTTTGAGAAGAGCTGAAAATTTAGTCTTGACCTAGAATCTGGGGACAATTGCCTAAAGAATTTAATAGAATCAGTTTGTACGGTTTTAGTTGTTGTTTTTGAGATGAAGTTTCGCTCGTTGCCCAGGCACGATCTTGGCTCACCGCAACCTCCACCTCCTGGGTTCCCGTGATTCTCCCAGCTCAGCCTTCCAAGTGTTAGGGATTACAGTCATGTGTCACCACACCCAGCTAATTTTATATTTTTAGTGGTGACAGGGTTTCACCATATTGGCCAGGCTGCACTCGAACTCCTGACCTCATGATCCACCCACCTTGGCCTCCTAAAATGCTGAGATTACAGGTGTGAGTCACCGCGCCTGGCCAGGATTTCAGATTTTATGATGAATATGTAACTTAAAGACATGTCCAAGTTAGTTACATGGGCTTCTTAAAACCAGTGTACAATTTTATCAACTTTTATCTACAGTAATACACAAAACTATATACGTAAAAATAGCCATGATCATGTATTATGTAGAAATGTTGCTGTCAGGTTTGATCCCCGTCAAGGTAAATGGATTTTAGCAAGCAGAAACTTGTGATTGACTACTACTGAGAATTCATGTATACTAAAATAATGAAAATGTTTACATTTCATCAGTTTCAAATTATATTTGCCCACATTTTCTATATATTTTGCCATGATTTTCCTTCTAACCTATGAAATTCAAAATCTAGTATCTTTAAAAATATTTATGAACTATTTGTCTTAATTCTTTTATTGCTAAGTATTCAGCTTTCATGTTTTCTTTTTTTCTGAATCAACAATGAATGCAATGTTTCTGCTCTGAGTCTTTGAAGAGTATTACATAAACAAACACTTGTCCTCAAATTTTTACTTTTAAGAAAAAGATCATACAGTTTAAAATCCATGTGCTTGATTAGCTGGAGTGGGAAAAAAAAAAACCTTCCCACGCCTTTATCTAATCTTGTGACAACTATTTCTGTCAGGATATGTGGCTTAGTGATCAAAAGACTTGACATTACGTGCTCCAGTTCCTTCTACGTCCTCAGTTCAAGTGCTTACCATTCCTTGGGCCAGAATTCTGGAACATTAGATTTTAAAACATGACTAATTTAAATCTAGTATCAATTTTAACTAAATTTCCACTATTGGCTCCTTTAATGGATCTATCTTCATTAAATATCTATGAAGATGAATACCAAGAAGTTATCACCCCTTTATTATTGACCTGGCTGACTTATAAAATTAAGCAGAATAACATTCATCAATCATTTTGACTGAAAACTGTGAAGACACAGAAGCCACATTTTCTCAGTTTCATTACCAATGTCAAGAAAATCAAGGTCAAAACAGGTCCTTCCGAGATTGTATTAAGAAATTAATGTAGCTGAATCACATCCTATATACTTTCCAGGTTAATATGAAAAGATGATAATTTTTCTTTGAAACTTACAAGTAGAATCTGCAAATACATAATTTTGAGAATAATTTAATATGTTGCCTTCAAGATACAGCTATATTGTATCTACAATACAATTCTATATGTCAGTATTTTAAAGAAACGGATCCTTACAAGACCAAAATAACCCACAGGCCATGAGGGTGGTTTTTCCTTTTTTTTTTTTTTTGTTTAAACAAATGTGCACCACGATGTTTGAACAAGTAAGACAAATGCCATGAATGTGAAAGCTGCAGTTTGCAATATGCCACATTTAGAACCCAGGGAAGGTCAATTAGGCAGAGGTGGTAGTCATTCTAATTAAACAATCAGGTAACTTCACGACAAGTTGATTTGCAGCATCAAAAGTGTCCATTTAAGTTTCTTTTTTCTTGATGATCAGAGGTCCCACGTTGTCTCCAGTCTCTTCATTGTGTTTTGTGTGAGATCCATCACAGAATGGGAACTGGGAAGAGAAAGAACAAATGAAACACCTAATTCCAAAATCAGTATTATGCTTGGCAGAGTGAACGGTGATGCTTAATTCATATAACATAACATAAAGATTTTCTTGGTTATCTTATACAGGCTTTCTTAAAGAGCCTATGTAAAGTACATACACTACTTAGTAGGAAGAAGAAATCGACTTGTGCATAACGCACACATCACTTATTGAATTTCATTGTGATATCTGATGAATGTTGAAAACCTATTTTATGTTTATATACTAGTTACATTCCTTTCTAATGAACTTTGTCTATTGTCTATTTAATTCTAAGAGTTTAAGTTCATTTATTTAAAATCAATTTGTGGCTGGGTGTGGTAGCTCATGTCTACAATCCCAGCACTTTGGGAGGCTGAGATGAGTAGATCATTTAAGGTCAGGAGTTTAAGACTAGCCTGGCCAACATGGTAAAACCCCATCTCTACTAAAAATACAAAAATTAGCTAGGCATGATGGCAAGTGCCTGTAATCTCAGCTACTTGGGAGGCTGAGGCTTCAACCTGGGAGGTGGAAGTTGTGGTGAGCTGAGATTGCGCCACTGCACTTCAACCTGGGAGACAGCAAGACTCCATCTCAAAAAAAATCAATTTGCATATTATCCCTTTGTTGATTTTTGCAGCAATCTTTCTGAAATTTTTTCATATGCTCAATTCCTCCACTTTCATACAAATGTGCCAATATTTCCCTTTTCAACATAATTCATGGAGACATCTTTCTTCTAGAGATGTGACAAATATAAATTTCCATTCCTTTTCATGATTTCACATTTTAGATATGACTGATGTTTTGGTGTCCAGTGGGAGGGAAAGGGACAAAACTAAATTTCTAACAGTGTTTCTCAGAGTATGCTCCAAAAAAGCTGAATCCTGCAAGACACTCTGATTTGGTTTCATTCTGTGTTTAAAAAACATATCATATAGCCCATTTGAGTCACAGCACACATTATTATTTTAATTTGCTATAGAAGCCACAATTTTATCCCAGAGTTTTTTAAGGTGACTGCACTATGGACAATTTAAATTCTGATTTCTATTAGAGTTTTCTGTTACTGAAAACTCTAACAGAAATCAAAATTAGCACACTTCGCAAATGCTAAGATCCTGTTGCTTCAGTATTACTGGATGCTATTGCTTCCCATATTCTTATACCTTTATTCATAATTTGATCGAAATAAATTCTACACATAAAAGCACCTATTTATAGTTCTATGTTATGTTGATCAGCCTACTACACTGGAATATTTGTATTTTAAAGATTTCAGTGTTTTGTAGGGCTAGTTTTCCTTCATTATTCTTAACTTTATGAAACTTTATTATTCTTCCAGATAAGCTTGAGAATGTTTTTTGCCAAGTCTTAATTTCTTTTGCAGTTTTTCATCCTCAGATTTCATGTATATTCTGGTTAAGATTATTGCTGTCATATTTTAATCATTACTACAATTAGTTATTTTCATATCTGAACACTCTTGCTTTGTAAATATTTTTTTGAGATGGAGTATTCAGGCTGAAGTGCAGTGGCACGATTTCGGCTCACTGCAACCTCTACCTCTGGGGTTCTAGAGATTCTCCTGCCTCAGCCTCCTGAGTAGCTGGGATTATAAGCGTGCGCTACCACACCCAGGTAATTTTTGTATTTTTAGTAGAGATGGAGTTTCACCATGTTGATCAGGCTGCTCTCGAATTCCTGATCTTGTGATCTGCCCGTCTCGGCCTCCCAAAGTGCTGGGATTACAGGTGTGAGCCACTGTGCCCTGACATAAAATCATTTTTTTTTAATAAGTATATCCCTCTCTATTGTAAAATGAAAAAATAAGCACAGTATTTCAGTAAATCCTCAGGTAGTGAAATGTTTTTACACTTAGAAGGTGTAATTATCAGTAATTTGTTTCTTTTATATCTTTTATTTCTATTTCATGTCAAATGGTGAGAGCTAGCATCTTTGCATTAATCTTGATGCTTTTAGTGTATCTACACTCTAGAATCTAGAGTTTCTCTGTTTAGTCTAAGGTATGCTGTTGCTTTGAAGAAACCTGGTTAAAGAAAGAGGAGTCTTAGCCTTACGAGAAATAAGTACCTCATTATGTTCAGTGAAGGGAATATAGCAGATAAGTGGAACGTGACAATAATGGTATTTAATCTTAAACTTTGATATCCAAAAGTCTACTTGATGTTAAAGTAATCAAAATTTAATCAATCTGTAAATAATTGAAAGAGGCACTAAATTAGCTAAAAATTACAGAAAAACTCAAGGTATTTGCACAACTTATATTTCCAGATATAAATTCTATCCTGTCACAGTGGGCAGTGTAAATGCAGTATATGTAAAGTTTACATTATTTCTTGTTTTGAGGCCAATAAGATGTGGTAAACAGTATATTCATATTAAAAACAAGCCCTTGATACAAAAACATAAAGTCAAGCTTTCAGTTTTTTCTTGGAGTGGATGAGGAAAGAGGCTATAAAAATGAAATGAAATTATCCCACAGCAAAGTACAGCATTTCAAAGTGACATATGTTTAATAAACAAACACAGATGATTTTAGTGAGTATAAAAGTTTACATTGTAAAGACTCTATTTTTATAAATAGCACACACAAAATACTTCACTGTACAGTTAAATCCACACAGGCTGTATTTCTGAAAAATAAAATATTTCTAAATAAGAAGCTACAAATAACTTACTAAAATGGCATGTTTAACTTTTATTTTTTGGCCAGGCATGGTGGCTCATGCCTGTAATCCCAGCACTTTGGGAGGCCAAGGCAGGTGGATCATGAGGTCAGGAGTTTGAGACCAGTCTGGCCAAGATGGTGAAACCCCGTCTCGACTAAAAATTAGCTGGGCGCGGCAGTGGGCGCCTGTAATCCCACCTACTCAGGAGGTTAAGGCAGGAGAATCACTTGAACCCAGGAGGCAGAGTTTGCAGGGAGGCAGAGGTTGCAGTGAGCCGAGATAGTGCCACTGCACTCCAGCCTGGGTGACAGAGCAAGACTCCAGCTCAAAAACAAAAAAACTACAAAACAACTTTTATTTATTTATTTTTAATCTTATGTTGAAAATATTAGACACTAACATTTTCTCAAATTATTTTCCTCCATATACAGAATCAACAGGAGAGAAATCTACAGAAAAATATACAAAGAAAATCTTACAAAATATTTGTCATGTATCTAAAATGAGAATATATTTTTTCTAATAACCCAAGTCTGCCTAAAAACTGAAATCAGCCTGTTTCTTCATATTCTTAAAAGCAAAAAAATAAAAAAATAAATATTTCTTTAAAAGCAATGAGTAGTTGATCCTGGTTATCTGTTAATAAACCTTCATGAGATTAAACTATATAAGGCTTTTATGCCTTTAAAATGTAAACTAGGTGTTAAAAATAATTTTGTTCAGAGACATATTTTTTAATGGCACTTTTATATCACAGCCCCAGGAATTACAGCCTTCTGTGTCTTGCTTTATTTCTGACCTATGCAGGAGAAATATAATGTGTGGTGGATATAAACTTTTTTTTTTTTTTTCTTAAGAGACAGGGTCTCCCTCTGTTGCCCAAGCTGGAGCACAGTGGCATAATCGGAGCTCACTGAAGCCTCAATCTCCCAGGCTCAAGTGATCCTTCCATCTCAGCCTCCTGAGTAGCTAGGACTATAGCTGCATGCCACTACACTCAAATAATTTCTAAATTTTTTGTGGAGACAAGGTCTCATTACATTGCCCATCACATTCCCAAAGTGTTGGAATTACGAGCCTAAGCCACTGTGCCCGGCATTATATATTTTCAAATACAAGGTAGGAAGTACAGGAGTTTTTATATCAAATACTGTACAATAATATAATTTTATTAACCATCTTTCATTAAAAATTTTGAAATGTTAAATTGTTAAGCAAAAAGTAAAATTACAAAAAAAAAAAAACCCATGAAGAATATTAAATTCAGTTTGTGTAGTATTGATACTTACTTTGTTCTACGATGTCAGTGTTTGTTTACTAACAAATCCTGGAAAAAGTCTGTAAATCAAATTGGCTGGATTTCCTTTATGTCCAGAAAACATCCTTTTATGTTTGTTAACCCAATATGAACACTACAAATCCCAAGTATCTTTAAAAGTGGGGAAGAAAGAGTTAGAAGAAGTTGGAATAAAAGTCTAGTAGAAAAAACACTGGAGATCCTTGCTCTCCGCCTGGAAAGCTAGCAATGCTATATGGATCTTCATAAAAAGATAAGATTTCTTTTTAATGATCTCACATCTCAAGTTATGTCTGTTTTGAGGGTAATTCAAGATAGAAATAAATGCTCCTCTTTGACTTATCTCTTTCACCTGAAACAATTTTCTTTTAAAGACAATCTTCCTTCTCTGAACTTCATACTTTGCATTACAGATTTGATTTTGTATCCAAAGGAAGTTGCCTGGCAGCATTTTGGCTCATTATCATAAACTGCTCAGAAAAATATACTTGTTTTGGTTGAGAAAGAAAACGGAAGATTTTTGAGACTACCCTAGAGATTATGACATTTTATACCACTCTTATGTACCTACTTAAATAAACCTAAGACAGTAGCTATAGTATGAAAAGGTACAAAGAGATATTAAGATTTTTACAAGACTGTCTTTATGTGGATTGGCCAAGGAATGGCACCCACATTCGGAATATTGTTTTTATGAAGAAACAGACTCAGTAAAACCCACTTCTAAGCCATTAATAGGATGGAGGCTTTCTCTTTCTCCCCCAGCCCTTCCCCGCCGAGCCAAAAAAAATCCCAGGATCAAGCCCACTATCAACAACAAAACAAAAATATCACAACTCAAATCTAACACTGTAAATGAAAGACAGTGAGTCTAAGTATGTCCAGTTGCATTTCATTTCAATTTCAGTTGAGCGCCTGATATTAACTGGTAAGACTTTCTTCTCCTTCTTCTTAGTCTGTATTCTTATGCTGTCCTTGTTTGAACTGTCTCCTATGTGGCCATCATACAACACCGCGGATAATGTAAACCTACCTGAAGTTGCAGGCATAGGAATCCAGCAATACTACATCCCATACCCTGCCCTCTTACATCAGAATTCTTTCATCTTCTTGTTTCAAAAGCAAGACTATCTCTTCCTTTTTAAGGCTGAATTTCACATCTGTGCTCTTACTCTCATTTCCTTCCACCCTTTGTCAAGATGCCGCTGTCTCAAATAGTATCTTTCCCTGTAGTCACTTTAATCATTTCCTCTATACTGGTTCCTTTCATTCTCACTTCAAATATGGATAGCCCTTTTGTGAAATACAGTTGGCCCCATCTGTACCTGTGGTTTCCACATCCATGGATTCAACCAACTGCTGATAGAAAATACTCACTAAGCTGGGCGCGGTGGCTCAAGCCCGTAATCCCAGCACTTTGGGAGGCCGAGGTGGGTGGATCACGAGGTCAAGAGATGGAGACCATCCTGGTCAACACGGTGAAACCCCGTCTCCACTAAAAATACAAAACATTAGCTGGGCATGGTGGTGCGTGCCTGTAATCCCAGCTACTCAGGAGGTTGAGGCAGGAGAATTGCCTGAACCCAGGAGGCGGAGGCTGTGGTGAGCCGAGATCGCGCCATTGCACTCCAGCCTGGGTAACAAGAGTGAAACTCCGTCTCAAAAAAAAAAAAAAAAAAAAAAAAAAACATACTCACTAAAACAATTGTATGGGTACTGAGCATGCATAGTTTTTTTTCCTTATTATTCTCCAAACAATACAGTATAACAACTGTTTACATAGCATTCACACTATATTAGGTATTATATGTAACAGAGAGAGAGGATGTAATAATTTAAAGTATACAGGATTGTGTGCATAGCTTCTAGGCAAACACTGTCATTTTAAATCAGGGGCTTGAGCATTCTCAGATTTTGGTATCCATGGGAGGTCCTGGAACCAATCCCCGGACACTGAGGGAAGACTGAACTATAAAATAAGCCAATTTCTGGGCCAGGCACAGTGGCTCACACCTGTAATCCCAGCACTCTGGGAGGCCAAGGCACGTGGATCACCTGCGGTCGGGAGTTCAAGACTAGCCTGGCCAACATGGTAAAACTCCATCTCTACTAAAAATACAAAAATCAGCCAGTCACGGTGGTGCATGCCTGTAATTCCAGCTACTCAGGAGGCTGAAGCATCAGAATCGCTTGAATCCGGAAGGCAGAGGTTGCAGTGAGCCAAGATCAGGCCATTGTAGTCCAGCCTGGGCAACGGAGTGAGAAACTGTCTCAAAAAAAAAAAAGCCAAGCCAATTTCTGAAACATCAGATGACATACCAATGCTGGCAAGAGAAGCACTGGAGAAAAGGGAGGGATATGTTTTGAAAAATGTAATTTCTGCCCATTACTAAGAGATCTGATTCATTAGGGTTGGGAAATCTGCTCAAAATGTTATAGACACACAACAGGTTACTAGAGACTGCACCTTTAGAATGAATTAGAATTGAAGTTTACATCGCATAACACATTTTTTTTCCATTGGTAAAAAGATGTTTAAATTTTATTATAAATACAACTGGTTTGTATGAGGGAAAAATTACTGACTATAACCTCAATGTAGCCACTTAATCAAAGGTATTAATTACAAGTCTTCCATGAACTGGCATGTAAGTGTGTGACCTGGCACCTGGGTGATAACCTTAGAACAGGAATGTGGGGTGTTTCCAAAAGTGTTTGAAGAATAACATTTGTTAACTTGGATAATATTCAAAGCAAACTGTTAATTGATTCACGTAGGAATAAGTGCCCAAGATGCAGTGAAAATTCAGAACTGACAAATCCCAGACACAAGGAGGATCACTAAACGTCATCAAAGATAAGCCAGAGAAGCCAGGTGTGGTGGCTCACACCTGTAATCCTAGCACTTTGGGAGTCTGAGGCAGGCAGATCAGAAGGTCAGGAGTTCGAAACCAGCCTGACCACCACGATACAACTCAGTCTCTACTAAAAATACAAAAATTAGCTGGGCATGGAGGTGCGCACCTGTATACCCAGCTACTCAGGAAGCTTAGGCAGGAGAATCGCTTGAACCCAGGAGGCAGAGGTTGCAGTGAGCTGAGATCGTGCCACTGCACTCCGGCCTGGGTGACAGAGCAAGACTCTGTCTCAAAAAAAAAAAAAAAAAAAAAAGATAAGCCAGAGCAAAAAAAACATGAAAAAACTAGAAATAAAATGACTGGTCTCATTCCCTCTATTGAAGTCCACCTACAGGAAATGGCAGTCCCTGGCCGAACCATCTAGAAACTCTAAATTGTAAAATAAAAGAATAATCCTGGAATGTTTTGAATTATAAAGTCTAATAAAAATTTATACCACTAGTTTGTGTCCACTGGTGATTCTTCCTGAAATATTTGAGATTTTAGTTCATGAAAGCCCATATTTACTTTATTGGATTCTTTGTCCTCTGGGAAAACCCGATCAAAGCAAACTCCCTTTACTTGATCTCAAAGGCAAGCCGTAGTGTTCATTCAAGTAATTATTTTATTTTCCTTTCCATTCACTGTTTCATCTACTGAAAATCTGACATAGACTTCTGGCAATTCTTTATTATTTAATTCACACTTGGACATAGCTTCTACTCTAATTACTCCATTGAAATGACACCAAAAGGGCAATTGCTTAATCTAACAGTTTAGTCTATTCATTCATGTAGTTGTCTTTGCACAGGCCAATGTTCAGTTCAAAATCTTCGAAACTTTTCCCTCTTCCACTTTGAGGCTATGATATTTTTAGTTTTATTCTAACCTCTCTGGCCCATTCCATCTCCTTAAATGGCTTTTGTCCCCTTTCCAAAAAGCAGAAAATTCCCCAAGATTTCATATTTAGCCCTTGATTTTTATCTATATCAAAGATCAGTTGCATTCCTACACTTGACTCATCAGTTTTGCTGATCTCTATCGCCAACCCTGATGTCTCACATTTCACATTGTCTGCTGTGCATTTCCATTCAACTGTCACCTCAAATTCACTCTCTGAAACAGAACTCCTTATTGCCGTCCTGGAAAATTAGCCTTTCACCTTGAAGCTTTTATTTCTGTTAACGGCATAACAGATTTTGAGTCTCCAACATTTGCAGTTTATTCAAATGCTACCAATTTTCTCATATCAATTTAACTCCCAAGTATATGACTATGCTTTTGCAGAAGATGTGGTGTAATTTTTTTTTTAATTAAATAAAAAAAAGAGAGAGATTGGGTCTTACCATGTTGCTCAGGATGGCCCTGAACTCCTGGCCTGAAGTGATCCTCCTGCCTTGGCCTCTCAAAGTGTTAGGATTACAGGCATGAGCCACTGCACCCAGCCTCATGGTGTAATTTCTTCCTTTTAGTTTCCATTTATTTAGATCACTTACACTACATGTACTATACACACCTGTGACATCTGTTTTACTCTTCAATGCTTCTCATGCATGCACATATAGTAGATATTAAATGAACTATCTAAGATCACTTACTAAAGAACTATCAAAACTCCAACTTAGAAATTCCACAATTTCTAGATGTATTACTTTATTATTTTCTAGTAACCCCGCTAGTATTTATCAACAATTCCAAATTACAAATGAATCTGCAGGAAAGGACATGTGAACAAAGGTGAAATGGATAAAGAAGACAGTCTGGTTATTTACTGCCCTCCCCCAATGAATAAATCTAAATTGAGGAGTCTCTTGAGGACGAGTGTGAGGAGTTTGTGGCTCCAGACATAGGGAACTCCTTGACAGGGTTTCAAACATAGAGTTATAACACTTATATCAGGGTGCTAGCTGTGGAAATGGAGACAAAAGAGCAGAGACATGAAACATTTTGGGGAAAGAGTCAGCCGAATGCACCTACTTCTGTGTAAAAGGCTGGGGAGAAAAACTAAAGCTCACTGAAGGATCTAAGCATGTAAGATTAGGAGAGGGTTATGCCATTAACAGAAACAGCCTGGATGACAGAGCAAAACTCTGTCTCAACAATAATAAAAAAGGGATATCATAACAATATCTGGTGATACAAGTCTGACAGAATAATTTAGAAATATAACATTAAAAATGGTACCATATGAAGGAATTGCTTTCCTCACCTTTTTGGACCTCCAACAACGGCAGTACACAGCTTTATCTCCCAAATCCTCCATGTCAAAAGCATGTACTATCTTGGGGTTGTCTTTCTGGATGTGAAGGTTTATCATAGCTTTATTTCGATGATCTTTAACATAAAATCTTTTGTAAGCTAGATAACCAATTGCAGCTGTCCCAGCAGCAATGGTAACTGCTGCGATCCATTCAACTAGGGCAGGGAAGGAAAACAAATAATTATCAAAACCAAAATCTAAGCCAATAATATCACATGACTGTTCAGAAAATCCAGTTTTTGAGTATTAAGCATCCTAACAGTCCAAGGTTTTCAATGTTAACAAAATGACCAGAACACAGTGGAATAATGGTCCTTTGTTATTATGACCTTCCCTGGCCATTACTAGAGCAATTGTGTATTTTCTACTGAGTGATGACAGCTACATTAAGAAGAGGAAACTTAAAATTATCATTTTAGAGCTGGAGTAAAAAACCCTAAAGCTCAATAATCATTTAAAAAGTGTTTATAAGTAGATTTTAAATAATATGTGAACTAGCAGATATCTATTACTCAAAAAAAAAAGCCCTAAAACATAAAAATTCAGATCACAAATAACATGTTATGCTAACAAAAATGACTCATTATAGTTTATTTAAATAGCAAGATCCCTTAGTGATTTTTAAATGATTTAATTTACCAAAACTCACTTGCAACTATTGCAGAAAACTATAAGAGAAATAATACTAAAAGAAACAGACAAACAAAACCAAACCACCCTAATGTTAAAAACATTCGAAGGAATGTATGTAGCAGGATTCCAGGTTTCAAAGTCCTTTTTCATTCAAAAGTCCTTTTTTAAAAATTGAAAGTGTTTTCTCATTAAAATAAAAATCAGAATGTACTAATTTCATATTTTGTAGGAAACATGATTAATATAATTATAGTTATATCTTTATTTAATAAATTCTAAATTTATTTTACTTTCCTAAAAATTCATTTTAAACTTAATGGCATTATTCTACTTTATAATAATAATAATAAAACTGTTGGACTAACAAGCCATCTAGTTACTCTTTTCAAGCAGCTTTTCAAGTCTTTAGAAACCCAAAGGCTTAACAACTACCCAAGCTCCAGGCAATGATGGAGAGAAGAAAGTTCTGCATAATCTGGTTAGCCTCAGCCTCAGAGGAGAGTTGTCTATTCTCAGCATGGAGTGGGCTGCAGGAAGAAATTGAACGGGTCAGGATAAACACACTGGACTCCTTCCCAGCACTTCCTGAGTCAGATCTTCAGTGTTTGAAATAAGCTCCCAGACTATCAAATAAAGCCCCAGAGAGATAAGTACAAAACAACAACAACAACATCACACACACACATTCCAAGGCCAAATAAAAACACATAATGACTAAATAGCTTTATAATTTACTTGCATTATTGAGTCAAGTTTTTTATTTTACCATACCTAATAGTACCTTATATAAAATTGGAGTTCAATCTTCTAAAACTGAATAGAAAGGATCCTTCTCAGTTTCTTGTTTCCTGGTCTTCTTTTCTAGTTTATTTAATAATTTAGACTTTATCTAAATTATTCCTGCATTTTGCTCATCTGGTAAGAGAGCATTATTTCTGCCTCTTCTGGTTTATCCTCACTTTCTAATTAATATATTCCTTGGATTATGTTTTCAACCACGGTAGTATTTTTCTTAACAAATTAATTTATACTGCTTTTCTTCCCATAACATTTCCTTTATTCCTTTCTATAATTTTCTAATAAACAATAACATTTTATCTTTCCCAGGTCTGCATGACTGAGAAGACAATATGTCATCTGACAGCTTCAAACCTTTGGCCTCATCAGAGGATGTTTTTTTAAGTAGGTACACATTATATGTAGATTTATCTAGAATTTTAGTGCTGCTTCATGGTATTACCCTGAGGTGACTCCAAGCAGGGCTGCAACTTTGCTGTGACTTCTAACTAGATTCATGATCTTCTTTTCCAATGTTATTTACCATGAAACTTTCTTGAGAAAATATTCCCTATGCCAGGAGCTGTAGCAATCCACTTCTTAGCTAATGGAAAGCCACTTTGAATAGCTAATGTACCTATCACAAGATGGGCTAAGACACTGCTTTGCATTGTGCATGCACCATAACGTTTGCTGAACATTGTCTTTAGTACAAACTTAAAGGGGGGAAACATCCCAAAAGACTAAAATAACACAATTCCCTAAGTGCTGTCAAGTTTAATTACACCTTACTTTTTAGGTGAATTATAAGGTACTTAGTAACATATTTATTTGGATGGCACCTGCAAATTGCAAAAAGTGCTGAGAACAACTACAATTGGCTAGTATTAATTTGTTTCATGATCTAAAAAGAGAATACTATAGGATTTTCTACATGAAACTTCATTATGATAGGTAAAAACAATCTCTCCTAGTCATTAAAACATTCTTCTTCCCTGCTTTTTTCTCATATAATTTACCAACTGCACCCATAGGTGACTTTTAAAGCTTTACCTCCCTTGGACTTTGTGATGGCGGGAGAGAGGAAAGAACAACTGACATGGAAAAGAGGTAACACCAAAGGCATCATGAAAGAAATGGAAACTGACTCCAGATATCCAAGTCTGGCTGTTCCATGGGGATTCAAAACACACGCTTTGTGCTCCCACCACTAGCAAGGGCAACTTACGACCTGATACAAATGTCACAGTACCATGTGTTCAGGGAAAATACCTTTGTATTTGCTCCAAGGTCTTGAGAAAACATTTTCCATTTTTTTTTCTTCCCTTCCCAAATTCTAATTCTCTAATTTCATTAGGGACAAATGCAAGAGTTCCCAGAAGTAAAAAAAATGTTGCTATTTTAACATTTCATGACTGCGGCCAGAATCAGTCTTTTCTGGCAAAAAGCTGTGGATGTCACTGGCAACTTTAAAGGAAAAGGAATAGACAAAAATGACGAAAGGTCCACAAGTCAAAAATTAGGACAAAGAAAGAAAAGACCACCTGAGAAATTAAACAAATAAAAATAGCAAAATCCAAATAATCCTTTATAACTGGGTATATGCCTATCAAGAATTGTCACAATCTCAGAAGCAACAAACAACAATCTGAGACCCAATTCTTAAAGATATTTCCATTGGTACCTTTCAGATACTGGTTCAGACTTGGAATCTAGAAAAATCCGGATTTTTTTTTTTTTTTTCCAGATAGAGTTTCTATTGCCCAAGGTAGGGTGCAGTGGTGCGATCCCAGCTCCATTGCAACCTCCATCTCCCGAGATCAAGCAATTCTCCTGCCTCAGCCTCCTGAGTAGCCAGGAAAATAGGTGTGCACCACCACGCCTGTCTAATTTTTTGTGTTTTTATGTTTTTTTTAGTAGAGACAGCGTTTCACCATGTTGGCCAGGCTGGTCTTGAACTCCTGACCTCAAGTGATCCACCCACCTCAGCCTCCCAAAGCGCCGGGATTATAGGCATGAACCACTGCACCTGGCCCCCGAGCATTATTTTTGCTTCTTCTGGTTCATCCTTGCTTTTCTTTTTTTCTTTTTTTGAGAAAGAGTCTCACTCTGTTGCCCAGTCTGGAGTGCAACGATACAATCTCAGCTCACTGCAACCTCTGCCTCCCGGGTTCAAGCAATTCTCTTGCCTCAGCCTCCTGAGTAGCTGGGATTACAGGGGCCTGCCATGCTACGTCCGGCTAATTTTTGTATTTGTAGTAGAGACGGGTTTCACCATGTTGGCCAGGCTGGTCTGGAACTCCTGACCTCAGGTGATCCACCCACCTCGGCCTCTCAAAGTTCTGGGATTACAGACATGAGCCACCACACCTGGTCCACAATTTTCTTTTCTATAGACATTTATCAAGTTAATTTCTGTAGTTAGGTCAAACCCCAACCTACCAGACCTTGTATAATCATGTTTTATATCTATACAAACACCATAAAAGACCAAAAATGCAGAGAAAGGTAACATTTCTAAATAATCCTCCCCTTTGCATATTCTTGCATTGGCATACTATAATACAATCTTTGGCTTTCTCTCTTAAAGTTATTCAGAGAGAGAGAGAAAACATGAACTTGTCCCCAAACTCCAAAGCCTTGTTTGTAACCCAGTCTGGCTTTTTGGTTTTTTTTACCGTGAGGATTATTTTGCTTTAACTCAGAAATCTCTCTCGGCTTCTTTTACCTTAGCCCGTTTTCTGCTCTAAACTGCCCTCTTCAGACCACCATCAACTGCCACAGAATCATAATGTTTCTCCTCTTCTATCAGGAGAGGGGGAGGGGAGCTGTTCAACCCCTTCCCTCTCTTAGATCTCTCATAGACTGGCAGGCTGTGCTTGGTAATATTTTTTTTTCTAAAGGCCTGGCATATAGGTGGTATTCAATAATGTTGGTTGAGTCTAAACAAATAATGGGCCTGGTGCGGTAGCTCACACCTATAATTCCAGCACTTTGGGAGGCGGAGGTGGCTGGATCATGAGGTCAGGAATTCGAGATTAGCCTGGCAAATATGGTGAAACCCGTTTTCTACTATAAATACAAAAATTAGCCAGGTGCGGTAGTGGGCGCCTGTGGTCCCAGCTATTTGGGAGGCTGAGGCAGGAGAATTGCTTGAACCCAGGAGGTGGAGGTTACAGTGAGCCGAGATTATGCCATTGCACTCTAGCCTGGGTGACAGAGCAGGACTCCGTGTGGGGGGGGGGGGCGGGATAATGGATGACTAATTTAAATTTCTAATTCCTATATGTAATTTTTCTATCCTAACATTGGATTGCTCTTATACTAAATGACTTATCTTTACCCTCTTCTTAATCTGCTGTATCAGGATGTGCAATTTACTCCCTGATGTAACAAAACAAAACAAAACAAAACAAACAACTTCAGGCATATATAAGAAGATATGTTTAAAAAAACTTTATTATGGACCATTTCAGACACACATACAGAATACTATAATGAACTCCCATTTACCTCAACTAGCTCTAACAACCATCAATTTGGCCAATCTTGTTTCATTTATTGTTTATAACTTATAGGAGCTATCCCCTTTATTTTCAGTATGATCCTATGATCCATACATTCCTTTTCAGACAAAAACCGTTAAATAGTTACTTTAAATAACATGGTGAATTTAGTGAACCAAAACTGTATTTCCCTATGTTGAGGTTAAATGAATTAGAAAATTAGTTTCAATAAAATACACAAGAATATGAAAGAGAATAAGAATTTCTGAAATGTAACTTTGATTACATGCACTGTAATGATCAGGGTTTGGGATAGATAACAAAGTACAAGGTTAATAGACAAATTCCTATTTTGCAAGTTGAGGGTAAAGTAAAATAAAGTGATTTCGGGGGAAGGCAGGTTAAAGAAGGCCTTTTAAATTTATTTGGTTTTGCTGGCTTTTTTTTTTTTTTAAAGATGAGGGTGAATTATGAGTAACTTTAGGCTGAAGAGAAGAACATCTTTATGAGGTGCTAAAGATTTACAAGCAACAGGTATCACTGAGGCAAGGATTTAAGCAAAAGAAAACAACATCTGGAGGACAGGGAGAGAGAATAGCCTAAGAGTTAACACCTTCCTTGCAAATAGAAGGGAAAGCATTATGGGTGAGAGCTATCAATGAGTGCTGGAGTTACAAAGGAGCAGGATGATGTTCAGAAAAGTTATCTATTTGGATACGAGGAGGAATCATAAGAGACTGGACAAGTAGGCAGTGAGGGCACTTAGTACTAGAAAATGCAAAAAACTAATGGTCTTATCGACCATACTGGTGTCAAGAGCTATCTCAATGACCAGGATCTTAAGACTATTTCAGTTCCAATCATTCATTCTCATTGCCTCTGCCTGATTCCAGTTCTAGCCTGGTCCCCGTTAAGTTTTATTTATAAATTGCGTTTTATTTTTCTTCTGAAAATGAACAAGAGTTATGCATACGTACATATACACGCTTTATATTTAACATATATTTATACAGTGCTTACCATTGTCACATATCATTCTAAGCCCTTTATAATTATGAATTCATTTGAGAAGAGACATGATTATCTTCTCCCAAATTAAAAGATCTAAATTAATTTTCAATCTGCAGGAATAAATTTGGTTTAAAGATTGAGAGAAGAACCAAACTTCTGTGTGATGTAAACACTAAAAGTTAAATTCCCTAGACATTCTCTGTTCCTACCTTGCCTACGTACTACTATATTATAAGGAGGAAAGTGTTGGTGGAAGAGATTTACAAAGGCTTTGGGCCTCTCCCTACAGTATTCATAGCAACTTTAATGCTTTTTGATGAAATCAAAAACTAGTCATGGCAGAGTGTAGTGTATGTAATCCCAGCACTTTGGGAAGCCAGGGGACCAAGGAGCCTCATAACAATACTGAATACCTCCAGTTGAAGCCAATAACCTGCTTCAGTGATTTCCTATTCTTTAGACAATGGAAAATGACTGGGAAAGTTGCCTTTGAATTCCCCTATGGTTAGACTTAAAAAACAAAACAAAACAACAAATTGTCTTGTTTAAAAAACAAATCTTGCAGACTAGCCTGCAAAGAGTGGTAAGTTCTAGGGGGTTCACCTGTTTCACATTTCAATAATATGCTACCTAAACAGAGTTTAGTGTTCATGTACACAAAATGATCCCACATTTTAAACACACATTGTGGAATCTTTTGGTCCACCTCAAACATGTTCAGTCTTCCTGTAAAATTAAAAATATCAGCAGCACAAGTCACATGAACATCTCATTTCAAAAGTCTTAATCCTAAGAGAATATAGTTTTTTAAAAAACAAAAAATTACAACCTATTTTATTTTATTTTATTTATTTATTTATTTATTTAGAGACGGAGTTTCGCTCTTGGGTTCCCTGGAAGTTGCATCTCAGATGGTGATTCTTTTTTTTTTTTTTTTTTTTTTGGGACGGGGTTTCACTCTTGTTACCCAGGCGGGAGTGCAATGGCGCAATCTCGGCTCACCGCAACCTCCGCCTCCTGGGTTCAGGCAATTCTCCTGCCTCAGCCTCCTGAGTAGCTGGGATTACAGGCACGCGTCACCATGCCCAGCTAATGTTTTTGTATTTTTAGTAGAGACGGGGTTTCACCATGTTGACCAAGATGGTCTCGATCTCTTGACCTCGTGATCCACCCACCTCGGCCTCCCAAAGTGCTGGGATTACAGGCTTGAGCCACCGCGCCCGGCCCATACAACCTATTTTAAATGCACGAAGCTGCCTCTATTAAAAAGTCTCAAGATGAGTATCCTTTAAAATAATTTTTGCAAATAATAATTTCTATATCATCAGTAACTTCGAAATGTCATGTCACCCTTACTCTGCTTTTGACAACAGAAGTGGAACTCTCCAATTTTTGGAAACTACCTCTCTATGAAAAAATTAGAGCTCAAGTTAGTAGGAATTTTATATTACCTGACACTACAGATGCTCAATATTTACTGAACGTATTTTTAATTAACCTCTGGGACAATCTCTACGCAAAACCTTGCAAAGTGGCGTTTCACATAGGGGCGAAGATCACACATATCGTGTGTCTGGCACACAGTATTATATTAACAATTATAACATCACCAAGAAAAGTGAAAATCCACACTAAATGGCTAGTATAAAGTCTCTTAATTTTATTAAAAAGGGACTTTCTGCGAAATACTGTTTCCAAACACTAGGTATTAGCACACGGGAAAGAAGACTCAAAGCTGAAGGTTCGACGAACGCGGTTTTCAATCCTCTATCCTGGACTACTCCCACCGAGGGCCAGATGCCAGGGGCATAATACAAAACCGGTAAAACTGAAGACCTCGGATTGGGTTTCATCCCTTAAAAAAAAAAAAAAAAATCTGCAAATCTAAGATGTGATTAGTCATGCACTGCTTCAGGATCGCGGGAAATCGACGTTGTGGTACGACGCTGACTGAAACATGAGAGGGCAAACGGGTTTGTTGTTACTGTTTTCTCTTACCTTTCCTTCTTTTCCAGGCTCTGTGACTTAAGGATACGTGTGAAAGCGTCTTAGGGAGAACAAGAAAAGCTAGCGGCGCGGTCATTAGGTGTTAGGTTTTGGCTACTTAGGGGAAACGTGGACTAAAGATGAGACGCCGGCGTGGTCTCAAACCATCAATCCATCCCTGACCTCGCCTCCTGTGGCTGTCCCGCCCGGAACCTGCAGCCGGGCCTAGCGCTTGCCCTTCTGCATCTCAAGGTTATAGAACCGGCGAGCGCGTAGAGCAGGGGTAAAACAACCCAGCCTAGATGCGGGCGCCGCAACCGCTGCACCTCACCAACCTCACCCTCTCCCGGGCCCCACTTCACCTCGTACGCTGGAACTGGAAGTCAGACTCATGGCGCCGTCGCTTGCAAGGCGTGTGCACTAGGTTACCGAGCACAAACGGGTTCGCGCGGCCGGCGAGAGCCAAGGTGCCAGCGGCGTACTAAGGGCACCGACTCCGCGCTGCTACCGCGCAGGCGCCGCGACGGGCCGTAAGCACGTGTGTGTGAGCTCGACCCTGGTAGGTGCTGAGCATGCGTGGAGCTATGTCCTGGGCCTTAAAGAAGTCTGGACTACGGATTTTGACAGCCACAGGAGCGGGGAGGAGGAAAAGACTTAGGTAGCAACTGAGTTTGCGCAACGCCGAGGGGCGGGGCCCTGAAGCGGAGGGACAGGGTCCTGGGACTAGGGAATCCAGGCCAGATTTTACGTCTCTTTCAGGTGTGTGGGCTTCTCGGGGCAGAGACAATTATCAGTAGGACGCTTAACTTTAATCAGATAACCTAAGAGTTGATCCCAGTTTTTGTTGCTCAGGGCTTGTGACGACTTGCCTTCACGGCCAGGTCTAGCTTTTATATAACATGCCAATGGCGGACATACAGGAATCAATGACTGAGTCCCATTCCAGAATCTCGCGTAGCTACCGGTGTCCATCCCTTTCTTATATTTTTGATCTAGTCAGTCATCTACTCAGGACCTTGGAACCTGCGTATCTTAAAGGTCGAGTGGGACAGAGAAAAATCTTGCTCCTCTCTTTAGAAAACGTGTTCACTTAAAGAAATTAGGATTTTTCTCTTGCTTCTACGGCCTTAAGTTAGTGTCGGATATAATTGGGGGAAAAAAAAAACAATAAAGGTGACTGTGGATATAGTTGAAAAAAAAATTAGTGTCGGTTCCATTTTTATTTTATTTTTATTTTTTGGTAAGAGCGGTTTAGAGACAGCAATCCGGGGAGGGAGATTGAGATTAACTAGAAGGGTATTTTGAAGGCACGTCTTCTAATAAGCTGCCTGGTTTTTAACTTCTGTTGTTTTTGTGCGGTGTGGGAGCTGGAGGGAGGTCACTGCAGTTAGGGGTGGCCTTTAGAGCCACCCTTGGCAATGCTAGAGCCTTCCAATTCTACTACCGGACTGCTCCGCACACTTGGAAGTCCCTGGCTTCTCTGGATCGACCCTCGGGACGCGCTGAAAAGCGCGTTGAATGAATGAAGCCACAACAGCACACGTGGCTTCGAAACGCCCGTGGGTAGTGTTCAGAAGGACCAGGAGTGCGCTCGCCCCGTCCGTGTCGCGGTCGTCAGTTCCCTGACGCTCAGCGCGCCCGCCCCGCCGCTGGGGGGTCCCGTCTGACTGCCTCTGGGCATGCTCAGTAGCGGCGGCGGCGGCGGCGGCGGCGGTGGCTGTGCTGGCGGCGCTGACGCTCGCGCGGCAGCCGAGAGGACTGGAGGACGGCGGGAGGGGGAGGGGGCGGGGGCGCAGGAGGTGGGGCCGCAGTTGCCGTCAGGGCCCCAGGGAGCGCGGGGCGCCGCTGCCGCTGCTCTTCGGCTCGGTTCTGTCTACTGGGCAGCGCCGGGCCGGCAGCTGAGGGGCGGAGGAGCAGGAGCCGGGAGCCGCGCTCCGCCGAGAGTTGGGCAGAGGAGCACCAGCGCCCCGCTCGGCATCATGGGCCCACTCCCCGGGCCTCAGCGGGCACCAGCCGCGGGAACCCCCGGGCCTCCTCGCGCCCGAGCCTGAGCGACCCCCGGGTTCTCCGGTGCCCCCTCCCTCGCCCTATTTTTTTTTTTAATTTTTTTCGGCTCTCGCTGCCGCTACCGCCTCGGGTCTCCGTTATGGCAACAGAGCCACCATCCCCCATCCGGCTCGAGGCTCCGGGTCCCCCAGAAATGCGGACCCCACGGGCAATCGAGGCCACCCCTGACGGCGCCCCGCAGCCGGCTGGCGGCAGACTCCGCTTCCTCAACGGCTGCGTGCCCCTCTCGCATCAGGTGGCTGGGCACATGTACGGGAAGGACAAAGTGGGTAAGTGGGGGTGGCACGGGGCTCGCCGCTCCTCTTCCGCCTCCGCGAGCCCCCTGCCAGCTGAGGCAGTCTGGCGCTCCCGGGACGGCCTGGACGCCCCCCGGGTGTGCAAACCAAATCCCCGGCCTCTTCCACTGTCCCCCAAAGCCTTGCCACCCGTGCAGAAGGGGCTTGGAAAGTGGGACAATTCCTAGGGTGTGGGTCGTCAGCCTTGCAGCACGGGTGGCAGGGAGAGGCGTGCCTGGTCTCACCCACCCCCCAGGGAGGTTGGGTGTTGATTGGAGACGGTGTTGTTTGTGAAAAATAAGGAACTTCATTTTTACTGGACGGGGAAGTAAATTCTCCCCTGAGCACAAGGTCTGTTTATTATAGGCGAGTAGGTATTGCAAAAGAAAAGGAATGAAATGTAGTTGATGCTAATCTAGCACTTCTCTGCTGGGTGCAGCTGCATAGCTAGAGGGGAAGAAAAACACTGGGCTTTTTGCGGGGGGAGGTGACAAGGGGAGAAAGCCTGTCGTGACTTATCCGTGATTTCTCCGTGCCCCTTGAGGAGGTTTTTCTGGTGTCTTCCTGATTTCTCTGGGAGGCGTGGTTCCAGTAGTGCAGAAATTCGGATTCCTGGTAGGAAATACACACAGATATTGTACTAGAATAATGCACAAAATGTGCAGCTATTCTTGTTAATTTTATAAGGCTATGTCATGACCACTGTAATACATTTTCTGACTTCACAAGTTTAAAGCCTATGTCAGTTTAGGAACTGTAATTTATCTGTCTTACTCGTAGTGGTTCCCTGGGCCATGATTACTTGGATAATCTGACGGATGAGTGTGTGAGTATTGTGTATCTTTGACCCGGAAGAGCCACTAGAGACAATTTAGTTTATACTGCTAAAATGATTCGAGTTTAGGCTGCTAATCCTGACATTTTTAGACGAGGTGACTAAGGCCAACCCTGGTTAACAATGACGTGCCTAAAGTCATGTTATAATGTGTTAAGAATTGTGAAACCAAGAGTTTTTCCTTGGAGTACTGTTTTTTTCACCATATATTGTGTTTGCTGAAACAACTCAAGGCTTTCTGAAAATGGATAAATATTAATTTGAATATATGCTATTTCTCAAAGCGATATTTCCCACTACTTTTGTTTTTACCTACTTTGTTGAAAGTGAGGAGTTAATGACAATATTGTCTTTTAGATTGTGTGCCTTTCTCTCCACTAAATTGTGAATTCCCAGAGGTTAAAGAGGAAATCTGTGTATTCTCATAGCCTGGTGCACGGACTGGGACTCGTTAACACTCAGGAAATGTTGAAAAGCGAAAACTGACAGTTCTTTTAGTACACCGAGGTAAAGAAACAACATCCTCAAGGTGCTCAGCATAGACATTTCCTCTGTGTGTCAGTGTCTTGTAATGAGAGTTTTAGAGTGCTCATGGGGTTTCTGTTAATAGAGGAATGCCCATTGATTTATATTAACAAATTGTGATGGTAATATTCCTAATAATCTAGATGCCTGAAAAAGTAAATGTTTCCCTAAAGGTCCCTAGAGATTGCCTTATATGCAAAGGAGAATAGATTTTTAAAATCCCAACATAAAAACAATCTAAATGATAACTGTCACTTAAGAGTGTAACCACTGCTTATCTCAGTATGTAACAGTGATCCCATTCAGAGAATTATTGCAAATAGTGTCTAAAAAGTTAATTTGTCACCCAAATTGCCTAATTAAAGTAATAGTTTAGATCCTAGAGGTAGTAGTCCTTAATTTTATTATTGCATTCAATGTAAGATAAACTTTTTTTTTTCAGTTTCATAAGGTTCTTTTGACTAGGGACTGTCTTTGTGTCACCATAGTACAATGGCTTGAACATAACTGTGCTAGCAACCTAATAAATATTTGTTGAATTTAATTCTCAGACAGTTGTACAATCCTGCATGTATTAAGTAAAAGGATAACTGAATGATAATCATCTTCCATATTTGTAAAATGGATAACAAGATGGTCACTAATTCAAAGTTCAACAGTTTATTATGTTTCTCCACTGTCGTAAGTCATGTACAGTTTAAAGTACATAATTTAGATCATGCTTTGGTCTGTCAATTGAAATAATTCTCAGGATAAGCTTTGTTAAGGACATTATGTTGGTATTTGTTTTGTTTTGTTTTTAAATTTGTGTTACTGTCATTAAGTAACCAGAAATACTCAATTTAAGATTATTTTACCTGTTTCCAAAAAGTACTTGTTAGCTTTGTTAGTTTAAAAATTAAACTCATGGAACTTTCTGAGCACAAAGGTGCATGAGCAGAAAAAGAAATCTAGTTATATATACTAGGTAATAAGCATATATTAGTAGTTCAGATATCAGTTATATTTTATGTTCTTCACTGAAACCATATTTCATCAAAGTACATTTAAATCTTAGTTCTAAGAATACAAACTATTTTGTTTTTTAAATTGTAAAAATTATATAGTACCTGGATCTTTTTGGAAAAAAATTCAAACAGTTTAAGTAGTACCCTTCCCCCTACGCATTCTCCCACGGGCAATCACTGGTAACTACTTCCTGTCTATCATTTCAGGCCTTTGTTTCTGGGTACATACATAAACACATTAGCACAGTTCTGTTTTTTTATACAAATAAATCTGTCAGCAACTTTTCTCATTCTGTATTATATCATGTTTTATACCTATATTTTTGTTCTTATGATATACTTTATTTCTTTCTAAAAATTGTATTCTACAATGTGGATGTATCACAATTTATTTAACTATTCCTCTAATGGTAGATTTTTAGACTTTCACCGTTTGTTTGTGGTTATAGTAATGTATTTATTAAACATTCTTGTATATTATAGCATACCTTGCACATTCTGTACCTATTTCTGTAGGAAGTTTTCACACAAAAAAGCTATCAATTTAAATTCCCAAAACTCACCAAAGTTAGCATAAAATTTTTTTTCTGCATAAAATTCTTTTAATATGTATTATTAATTTCTTTAAAAAGTCCTTAAAGTTTTAAACAAATGGTGGAATTCTGATATTTATTTCTTGATCCTATTTAGGATGTAGATATGGGGTAGTCTATAGGGAAAATAAGGATTTAAACTGATAATTGTTGTAGGGGAGAAAGGCCTACAATTATCTTGACTTAGTAGTCTATTGTGTGTGTGTGTGTGTGTGAGATGGAGTCTCACACTGTCACCCGGGCAAGATTGCAGTGGCGCAGTCTCAGCTCACTGCAGCTTTCTCCTCCTGGGTTCAAGTGATTCTC